TTTTTTTTTAATTTGAAACCTATATACGTACGCTCCAACTCTAATAGCGGTTTTTCCTCAAAAAAATGTTAGATCCTCGTACGCAGTGAACTGTGATGTCGGCGAAAAAACAACATTATCAAAATTTGTGCAAAATTCATCGAAATTAGTGATGGGAATACTTATAATTATAATATTAATCTTCTAATTTTAGGATTAAGATTTGAAAACAAAAATGAACATAACACAGGAAGAATCCCACCAGGAGCAGTTCTTTGTGGTATATTATGAATACTTAAAAAATCAACGATTTGAGCCGCGATTCGCAATTTGAATGAAAAAAGAAAGAAAGAAATTGTATACGCGCACAAATAAACATACACAATGATTAGTCCATTACTGCAGTCTGCAAAAGTTTCTCGCGTCATAAATCAGAACAGACTGGAATTTTTTTTCTTTCTTTCTTTTCATTACTTAATGCGGGTTGGATTTCGAGCGAGAAGAGAATCGATGACTAAGAAAATCATCGCAACGAGGCAATATACGGGCATCTGGTACTTACTTGAGATTTAGTGCTCACGTACACACATCAGGTATATATGTATATACAATAATAATAATAAAAACAACAGCCAACGATAATATTTAAAAGTAATATCCCGCGATCTCTTATTGCAACACACCCAGAGGATCAGCAATTAATACAAAATATCTCTAGTTTTACGAGGTACGTATACAAGTATGCCTGTGCATCTCGGCTAGATTTATATATAATATATACACTATTTACGAGTCGTGTCACGCTACAGCGAATTCTCCCGCATATATATGCAGGTGTATAGCGATAAATGACCATGTGTATATTTTCGTTGATACGTATATAAATATAAAATATGTTGTATCTATATATAACGTATAAACTGTGAGATAGGCAAGTTTTCGGTTGAGCTTGGCTGAGCGAGTCTATCGCTGCTTAACGATCGGCAATATCTTACCTGCAGGGAAAAATTAGCGGTGCTTTGTGAAAAGATCGTTCCTTGGGTATACATGTTTAAGGATTTTCTGGAAAGGATATTATGGTGGTGGTGGTGCGATACATTATGGTATACTTGTTCCGTATTTTTTTTACAAATCGTTTTTCACGTTCGTTTTTTTTTTTTTTTTTTTTTTTTCACTTTCAATATCAAATCACAATCAAGATGTTTTTTATAACTTTTTGGATTTCTTTCCTGAAGTGACATGTATTCAACGTTGGCCTGAATTTTTTTGCCTTTCGTATACATATAGTCTATACCTATACTTGCACTGCTCTCTCACAAATTTACACTTTAATTGATTTCCTCTCGATCGTTGTCACAGTTTTAGATGATAATTACCTGCACTTCGTGTCCGAGCTTTTGCTATACGCAATTTTACCGATTGACTGATACTACGATTAAAATAGTGTACATGTTGTGCTGTTATGAATACTTTTTTTTTTTTTTTTTTTTTTTTTTCGTAATTTGTTTTATTGCATCTCACAGTACAGTGTGATGAATATTGAAAAATTTAGATAGTACTCGTGTACTATACAGATTATTACAGATAAAATAAACAGAGCTAGAGCATCTCTTTTACGTGATGCGATTACTTCGATCCTCGTCATATCCGATGCTTTGGAAGCCTATGAAAAAAAAACTACAAAAAAAAAAGTTTCCAGCGTTAGGTACAACTTTGCTCAATTGAGGTGTTAATGCATCACATCAAATAACAAAAAAAAATGTTATTACTGTCACCTTCATCGTTTGTCCATATATGTATATATTTTGTATCAACAAGTTTCTTGAATATCTTTTTGCCAAAGCGATGAATAATCCATCGCATCCATATAAATCTTGCTTGTATGGATGTTCGATAAAAATGTCAAACCACGTGCTACCGTATCGGTATCGGCTCCCCGCCACCATCAACATCTCAATTTCCTTGGGCGGGGGGGGGGGGGGAGCGGCCACGCGTTCCACTTTCTCTGTCTTTATTTCACGTAATGCGCACCTCGCGAATAAGGCGCGCCCGCGACTAACGTTTCATTCACGATTTCCTCTCTCTCCCTCGCGCGGCCAATTTTGCATACCGCCTTTGAAATTTTCTCTCTCTCTCTCTCGCCTCGAGTTAATTGGAATAAAATTATTCTAATTGATTTCCAGGTGCCTCTATCTCGAGTGCGCTCCTGTGCATGTGCACGTAGAGGGAACGAAAAGAGAGTAACCCCCTTTACATCCTATCGTATTCTTATTATATACACTATATATACCTAAAGGACCCATCTCTCAATGGTACGTATATACATGTAATGTTGTTAAAGTCCGAAGAGGTAAAAATTACTTTTCGCCCGATAATCGTGTAGGTATACTTGCATTTGTTTGAATCAAAATATATTTCGGCTTGCAATTTCAAGTGCTCCGCAGACTCGGCTCCCCCAAAAGTTCTCTTCTCTCCCAGTCCCTGCTCGATGAAAACGCCGAAACCGCAACACATCCGGTCCATTATATTGTTATGCACGCGCGTGTATATTATATAGGCTGTAAGGGCGCGCATCGAGTGCTGTGCACGATAAAAAAAAAAAAAAAAAAAAAAAAAAAATTGAAAAACTTAGGTACGGTATCGTACAGACAATAAAAATCCCTATACCCAAAACTGTATATACTTACATCCCCGATTTCTATGCTTAAGGTACTTAAGAGTGCCCATCGCAATGTGTACCGGTCGCGGTTTCCCCCCTCGCCGCTGCACCCAACGGCGCGCGGCTCTCCCTCCTCCTTGCGCGGCGAGGACTCGACCAGCCGCAGCAGCCGCGAGAGATCGGCGAGTTTGATGCGCGCTCGCATCCGCGTCGGCCGTGATTCTCAAGGATCGAGTCTATCGTTTCGTTTCCCGCGTGGCGAGGTACATACCAACGCGTCTCGACCAAATGCTCACGGCACAAGGTAGCACCGTCGAGGACAACCTGTGATTTGTGCGCGAAGATGTGAGGCCTTGGTGTATAACAGCTTGTGTGATACCGATCTTCGACCGATCCGATGGAGTCGTGAAAAACGCCGATCTCGCGCGTCTTCGGCAATAGTACAACTTCGTTGCAGTTCCCGAACGATGAGAAAATCGGTAAAGCCGATACCGATGCCTCGACCCAACGGAAAACACGCGATCCAAGTGACGACGCTTGGCGATTGATAAGTATACACGGGCCAAGGGTACAATACCGATCATGCTTGTACGGTGGTGAGGCGGGTGTGCGCGCGTGTATTGGTGCAAGGGGGCAGCAGCTTTGATGGACCAAGAGGAGGAGGCTCGAGCGCGCTGTCTGAGCCGACCGCCGAAAAGGTACGAGATATACTCGAACAAGAGGCGCAGGGACAAGATGCCGAGGAGCGCGGCCGTGGCCAATGCCGCCACCCTGCAGCCCATCGAGGAGGCCAACTCTGGGAAATCCACCGGTGAGCTTGTACATTTATGTTGCCGATGAAAGTATGATGCACGCGCGGGTGGGAAAAAATGATGTTTTATATTGTCCGGAGCCGAGGGTTCCGCTTCCGCTCACATGGGAGTCTCGGTTTTTGCTCCTCCCCGTTGGGTGCTGATGTTGGACTTGGGAGGGGAAAAAACACCCCGAGCAAAATGTGCGAATAGTTCGCACGTGTCTAACAATAGCCGAACTTTCAGTGTGCGTATACGAACAATGGCCGCGGCGTTTTGCGTCGTTTTGTTTTTGCTTTTAAGCCGCGCATCCGATAACCAGTTCATAACCAGTACGGGAAGCGTAATAGCGCGTGAGAATCGAGTCGTGCTCTTGAATATGGTACGCATGGAATGTTGCGTCTAAAAATCAATCGGAGAAGGGGGCTTTTTTTTTTTTTTTTTTTTTTCATCACTTTTAGGGCATCCAATAAGGAAACGCCTACCGCGAGACTTGAGTCTGGATTTTTGCTCGGTCTGTCCAGTGATGAAAAAATCGTTTTGAAACAGGAAAATAATTATTTACTTTAGGTATACATCAGAAGTGTAGTGCAGGATACTTTTGGGAGAAAAGGTACATAGAAACGTGGAAAATAAATACGTGCGCGGTGGGCCCAGTCACGCGTTAAGAATAATCGATCCGGAGCGACCGGCGTGTTTTTTTTTTTTTTTTTTCTTTTTTCAGTACAGAAAACGAAAAGTACAGGATGTCTGAAACTCGATGGGTTCGAAAGGAAAATTTCTTCGGTAGAACTTGTAATTCAAAGCTATACCATCGTGTTAACAAAATATTCTGCAGTTTTGTAGTACACGCTGAAGCCCCACATGGAAGGATGCGCCTAGTGCAACAATTAAACTCGTAAAAGTCCATCAGAGTAACGTACATACACACGGCGGGCGCTGATGTCGAGTGAATTAATTTTCCGACCGGTTGCATTGGGCGAAAGTTTTCAGTTGTAAAAACCCACCCACGGCTCGCAAGCCGCAACAATGCAAAGTTTGCTCAAAGCGCTCTGTGTTTTTTCCCAACTCTTGTCTTTCCTTTTGCCACTGTACGCATAATTTTTTTTCAAAAACATTTCGAATTGCTCGAAATGACGGTTGGAGCGTGGTTTCATTTTACCGATCACTTATTTTACATTTTAAAAAAATCCACCCGCACCTCGACACTCTAATAGTATCACATACACCTGTACACGAGCACGCGACGATCATCGTTCCGTGTTCCGGTCCGGCGCTGTCCTTAATTCGCTCGCGCACCGAGTGTCTTTCGATCTATTCGACGGTGAAATCGAGCGGTCACTTTGTTTCCCTTTCTTTTCGTATCGACTGTTTTTTTTTGTTTTTGTTTTGTTTTTGTTCTTTCCTTCCCGATGATCCGAGCCAGCGATTCCAGAACGCACATCCTGCCAGCACCGCGCGAAATGAGTTTTCTCCCGATCGCGACTTGTAAAAGGAAGGAAATCAAAGGAAGCGAATCACCAATCGTTTCCCATGCATTTCATAAACGAGGAGGGGGGAAAAACATGAAATCCGTCCGCCGTTGCTCGTGTGGGTGTACTCGGTTGAATTCAACGATTCCCTTAAAGATGCACTATTGTGTATGTAATTATGTGTACCTGCACTCGCGCGTTCCGGTCGTGGCCCGTGCAATGACCGAAATGGGGGCCGATGACTATACTCGAAAGCTGCTCGACGGAAAATCTCCCGCGCCGCCCAAGATGCTATACCACCACGCGATACAACAAGAANACCAATGTACAATGGCATGTGTAATCAATTGTATGCAAAGAAGCGCGCGTTTCGTGAAAAATCAAAAGTATTATTATATATATTATATACGCATACGATTGATCGGTCACGATGTTATAAATATATATCATCACGGTAATGATCAAAGTTTATGGTTTACAGTTTCAATTCGACGGTCGAGGACACTAGCTCGTTTATTACAATTCAGATAATCACTAAACTATTGATGCACCCGTAATCCGACAGTATAATGATATATATATATGTATTTATATGTATGTATGTATGTATTGAAACAAGTGCTTTCGATTGTTTATTCTTTACATTGGCTCTGCGTACAAAACGAAATCCCCGAAAATGGAGATGTGTGTACATCATGTACCTCGTGCGCCGACATTGTCTTTGCGTTGAAAGAAAGAAGAAAAGAAAACGTATCGTCATGAAAACGGCAAATCTCGACCGTGCCGTGGTGATGATATATTATATTCTAGGTCAAATCGAGCGGCCATCGGCACGTCGACGGCGACAGCTTACCTCCAGTAAGTATAAGTGAATGACGGGTGTTATACGTATACGTATACATCAGCGAGAGATAAATATAATAGTGTTATATATAAATATATCTCGAGAGTCCAGCTTCTTTTTTCGCGGCTCCTTTCACCGTCGCGCGCAGCCTTGCACTTGATGCCTCCCACTATGGCCGTCTCGCGTATATATCATGGGAGCAGCTGCTGGAGGACTTTCTCCTGCTATTATCGGAAAAATCGCGCGGATACAAATCAACCTGGATTCACCTCCTCTTCTCTCTCGCACGCGCGCGCGCACTTTTGCGAGGAAAGTTCCCCGCGGGGAGGATTTGTTTCTTTTTCTTTTTTCCTTTTTCCTTTTCCCTCCCCCGTTTGTTTCTTTTTCGACGCCCGTGGCATTGTTCGTCCTCGCGAGATGCAGCACAGGATACGAAGTTGGAAAAAATAAAAAAAAAAAAAAGGTTTCAAACGCAATTACCGAGGTTTTCGTTGCCGATGCTTAGGTTCTAATAGCCGATCGGACGTGCTGTATTTATAATATATATAGGTTTGGCGCATTACTTGTCGATTGTGTTGTCGAACCACGAGTTATGAGAGCAATTCGAGGTGAGAGGCAACTACTAGCGCCGAAGAGCCTGTACAAAAACTAATAAAGTGGCCAAAGTTAAAACTAAAACCTTTCTTATTTGACGTATTAAAAACAATAGCGCCAATTGAGTGCCATTTCATAATGTGAAAAAGCATCGTGCGACAATAACTCGTACTAAAACCTGTCCTACGTGTATCACCTCGAATGTAGGAGATACGTGTCGACGATAATGGCTATATAAGCTGCATCCCATCTACATTACTCTCTTGTACAATATATATATATACATGATTGCTTCATTTAAATTTTTATGAGCAAACGATGGACATCGATCCAAGCGTTTGAGTAAAAAAAAAATTAGTTGGCGCACACTTTGATTATCGACTTGTCGAGTGCTCGCAGCGTGTTATTTGTACGCTACGTTTTGAACGTGCACCCCGGCACCCTTGGATTTACAATTTCGGACGTATACCACCGATTCTGTGTTAACTTGAAAATTCAAACACACGTGGCTTGAAACATTAGAAAACAGCAAAAAAAAAAAGTAAATAAAAAACGATTACTCTACAACCGGCCATCACTGGCGCTCCATCGATGTACAACATACCAATACGCGCTATACACATGTATATATATGTATGCGCTCAATTATAAAATGAATGGACTTTCACTCGGATCATAACAAGAAGACACACGCTCTCCCGTAATCGCAGCTGGTACTTACTTGTACTCTCTTACACTGCAAACTCGTAATGTTTTCGCATCGAGGAGTCCCATCGGGACCGATATATATAATTTTCATCGGGAGATCTAGATCACACCGCGTACACACATCCTATGTATTAACCGTATGTGCTTGTATACGCTTGAAAAACGAAAGTCCAAAACTAATAACTTTTGGATAGGTGATGGGTGTACACGCGGAAGTCGAGCGCATACCGATCGAGATCGGCAAAAGTAAAAGCTGGGATGAAAATGGTAATGTAAAACGATCTCGGATCGGTATGTGCATTAACGAGGAAAAAAACGACCTTGCGGCTTTCTATTGTAAAAACATAATAAATACATGTACCTACGAGCGATTCCTACGTGGAATCGGAAGAAGAGGAGAAAAATAAAAATTCAGTGCGCGCCGGAGATGTAAATTGAGGTGTACATGTGCTCTGTTGCCCGTTTTCACTTTTGGCTTTTATTGCCCGCTTATTTGGCTGAATATCTTTGCTTCCTCGGAACATACGTATAATCAAAGTTTGGATTTATTCCGCTCAATCAAAAGTGCAGTTTCGACGGTACCCCAAAGTCGTAAATCAACAAAACAAAATCTTCTTTTTTTTTTTATTCGTATTTTTAAAACAAATCAACCATCGCTGCGCAAATTGTTGGTATGACCCACACTAGACTGCTTTCAACCCCAACTTTATCCTCTCATTCAAACAACCATCTCCCACTTTCTCCTAATGCGTAAAACGATGGCCCGTTTTCCCTCGCATATACACGGACAAAAAAAGCCTCGGATTTAAGCGCTCGTATGTACCTATTCCCGAAAGGAGCGCAGCGCATCTCACGGATGCATATACAACCTTATAATTTCAAGATTATCCAGATTCGCCTTACGCGTTATACGTTACAAGCCCCCCCCCTCCCTGTGCTAGCCAGATAGAGTAGTTTATGGTACATATATTTCCCCCCCCCCCAAATTTTTTCTACAAAATAGACTCCAATTGGGTATGTGTGTATTTTATCTATACCATATGAGAGAGTTTTTGTATGACATGTATATATAATTAAGAGCATGGAGACGTACACGTTTACTCGCTAAAGCATGATTATACGTTTGTACAATGTAATTTTTTTTTTTAATATAATATATGTATAGGTAATGTTCAATTCGACGGTCGAGGACACTAGCTCGTTTATTACAATTCAGATAATCACTAAACTATTGATGCACCCGTAATCCGACAGTATAATGATACATTCATGTACTCGCAGACACCCATCAATCCCAATAAAACGCGTATCCCCTCCGTTGTACAAGTGTCAGCTCATCAGTATCATCAGACCCCCCGATCGGCCGCATTGGACTCATCTTCCGAGGCCAGCACGGTGTTGTTGTAACCATCGCCAACGTCACCCCTCGTCCCTGGGCCCTGTCTCTGCCAATCCCTGAACATGTCGTACAAAATGGTAACCCTCGAGTTCTCCGCCACGTTGTCCCTGACGCTGAGCCGGTCCTCCGCGTTCGACTCGATCTGCACGAACAGCTGGTCCATTTTCCCGGAAATCGTCTCGTAGCCCAGCGTCACGTTGCCAAAGCCAACGCCGCCGTCGACGAGCCTGACGTTGCCGTTCATGCCCAGCGCGGCCGCGAGGACGCAGTTTATCCGGTGCCTCGGGGGCGACGTCAGCGTCAGTCGCATCGACGAGGACACGCTCGTCGTCGAGTTTGTCGTCGCCAGGACGAGGCTCGAGCGCCTCGCCTCCGACTCGGGGATGAAGTCGCCCTGCATTAGCCACTGATCGCTATACAATATGTGCAACAATTGATTAACGCCCTGGTGGTGACACAAAATTTAAATTAAATCATTCGAAACTCACCCATTCAAAGTTGGAAGCGCGAGCAGGAGCAAGGAACAACGCGCGATTACCGATCTCCCCTGCATCGTTGTTGCGCCTCTCTTTCTCTATATGACGTATACCGATCTATTGTGTATATCCAGAGAGCAGTTCTGCAAACTATCCGCGACGACGTGTGCCCTGCTGCTCGTGCATACCGAAAGAGAGAGAGGGAGGAAATTTCTCGATCGCGACCCAGAGCGTTAGCAGGGAGACCTTGACCGGTATCCGTGACCCGATCGGATCGAGTGAGCAACGGTGCCGATTAGATAACGCCGCCACTGGCTGCGATTGATCGTCATCGGTGGGATGCAAGATCGGCCAAATTGCATGACTTTTTGTGTTTTTCACACACGCCGATGCGTCCCCTTTTGTCGATGATGGAGCAGAGATCGTTATCCTATACTCATCGTCCTCGCGCCGGAAGATTAATTTAGCGCATCTGTCGTAATTTAATACACGCGATTTTTCACATACGTTACAAATTTTAATACAGCCAAGTGTACGGGTAAATTCTGGTACGTCTAACGCGTGACAACGTCAACAACAATAGGCACATACGCGTACGATCGCGCGAGCAATTGCGCTGGTGCCGATCAATCAAGCGGTGTCCCTTTTCTCGCGCGATGGTTCAACGACCTCGCGCGTACACACGCACATTCTTCCGTCGATTTCATCAAACGATGTGCACTTGTCCACACGTACTATGTACTTTGCAATAACTTAGATATACGTATACCATACCGATCACACGGCTCTTTCACATTATTATCATCATTTGTACTCTTTTCGGCACTTGAAAAAAACAAAGTGACTGTACGAACGAAACGACACAGCGTGAAAGAGAGAGAGAGAGAGAGAGAGTACAAAAGTAAGTGTTGTATTATAGGTAACGAAGGCGAACAAATTAATGTCGTACACATGCCCTCACGCAGCGCGGATTCGGACCCAACTATTGTAAGTGTAAGCCAGTCGGTGCGTATATGGCTCCTCGGGTGTACAGTTAAGCGGAGCTGGCGTATATATATATACGCCATGCGATGCGTATGTACTACATATGTAGTACATACATAAATATATGCCCTGTATGAAAGAGAGAGAGAGAGAGAAAATTGTGACAGCATTAGCATGCGTAGGATGGAATTGAAGCGGTTGGCGGTGGCTTATTTTCGCCAACCTCCTTCGTATGCAAAAAGTCAAAGAGGAGTAGGACGCCGAACGGATGTATTTGCGGATGCAAAGGTTACCGTCGGCTATGCGTACATATACACGCGTATACGCACTCGTAATAGGCCAGAGTCCGATATACACGCGCATACGCAATAAACCGTTTCACTCTTGGTTTTTCACGCATCACTGATGTATAAAGATATAAAAAATCGGTACTGTGGTAAGTGTGCACGTCGTTAATGTTACTATTAATTTTTTTTTTTTTTTTTTCAATACAAGTAGCAGAACAAGTCCAACAAAAAAATATTTATGTAGATATCACAGCTGAGTGCGTGCAAGAGATCGTTATTGTTCTGCAAAAATCGGTTGGTTGTTGCTCGCATCTTATACACACACGCGGGAGTGTGCGTGCGTGTACATCAACGCGGAAACATTAAATTAACCCAAGCTCTCGCCCCCCCATATTCTTCTTTGCAAGGTTTTTCCGAGCCGCACAATGACATATATACGCACACGCGAACCGTGACGTCGCTAATAAAGTATCGTACACCGATAACCATACGCCATGGAGAGACGATGCGACGACCGCGGGGTGCGCTCTCTGTTATTACAATACGTACACGCGAATAATCCAACAAAAACAAACCCTGTAGGTCTGACAAAGGACTTTTTTTTTTTTTTTCATCGCGTATTATATCGTGTACATGTGTGTGAATGATCTCGCGATTGGACGTGGATCTCATGGCGTCGAGCTTGAAAGGAGATGCTATTGCCCGTGTCGTTGAATTGTTAAAAACCTACGCGTGGATGTATATGGATGTCTTTTTTGTTTTTTTTTTTTTTTTTTGTTTGTCCCACTCGAGCGTGCGTGTTACATCAAGATGATGCAAATGTTGCGAAAAAGCACTCGGTGATCATTGGACAAGTCTCTCGTATACTCGCGGTTGGCGTTGGTACATACGACCAATGTACAATGGCATGTGTAATCAATTGTATGCAAAGAAGCGCGCGTTTCGTGAAAAATCAAAAGTATTATTATATATATTATATACGCATACGATTGATCGGTCACGATGTTATAAATATATATCATCACGGTAATGATCAAAGTTTATGGTTTACGGTGACGAGGGAAAGCTCGTTTTTGTGGCAAATCGAAGAGTCCGAAACAATGTACTCGCAGCAACGGAGGGACCAAAAAGTAGCCGCAAAACCCCGACGATACGTGAAGAAAAAAGGGGGACGACAGAGATGACGATTCGTCAAGAGGAGAGAGACGCGCGGTCTTTCGGACCCCAGTCACGATCCATACGCTTGCACGGGCCAAACGAAAAAGTGGAAAAAAAAAGAGGAAGCCCCAAGCACGTATACGCGAGCGAGGCGCTCTGCCGTGCGAGAGGTCCCTCGGAAAAAGCTCGCCGCGTGTCCACTTGCCTCCCGCGACCGGGGCCGACAACAACAGCCCGATATACCGATCGATCGGCAACAGATAAGCGATCCTTCCGCGTTTGGACGAGAGAAACTTTTGCGCGTTGGATATAAAACGAAAGAAAAAAAAAAAAAAAAGAACGCCGGGACTTTCGCTCGGTCCATTGGCTCCGCGCTGGAGGACAGATACAACACCACAGCGGACAAAACAGTGGCCGGGTGATAACAAGCCGAGTTATGCGCGCCGGGTCGTCGATCGGCGCGTGACTTCCGGCTCATCGGAGGAAAGAGAGCAGCCCATGGCGTCCGAAAACGGTGTCCAATTTGGCGGGGCTCGGCCGGAGTCAGACAGCGGCAGTCGTCAGGCGCGCTGGTACGGAGTCGAGAGCCACGAGCCGATCTACGACGTCCTGGACGCGCCGGGGAAGAGGTCGGCCGAGGAGAGACAGAGGCTGCCCCCGGAGCCGATCTACAGCGTCGTGGACAAGCCGGGGCGCCGGCTCGAGGAAGGAGTAGTTGGGAGACGGGAGGAGCTGGAGAATTGGTTGAGGAGCGCGTCGAGGAGGCGCGAGGCCATGCTTGCCGGGGAGGACGAGGTCGGATGGGCCAGGGAGCCCGGGCTCGTCTCCAGGCCCAGGGGCATCGTCGGCCTCGTCGAGCCGTACAGGTAGGGCCGCGGTTTTTTTTTTCTCTCTCTCTCTCTCTCTCTCGATCGGATCGGTTGGCTTTTCAAGTCGTGGACTCTCGAGTCTCGACCGGTGGGGTCATGATTTTTTTTTTTTTTTTTTTTTCCATTCAACTTGATACTATGGGGGTATCCGCGCGTACTCAAAGTTTTTCATATACATAATATTCACACGGTTCTCTTCCAATCCAACATTGTTTGCGACTTGTTGATGCGCTCGCTAGCATTTTTCCTCGTCAAGTCCCGGCAAATTTGTAAAAGGCGCGAGCCTCCTATACGAAATCGTTTGCGTCTCGACTTGGCGATCGATCGGCAAAGTATGAGAGAGAGAGAAAAAAAAACATTCCAGAATCCAGCATTGCCCCGAGGATGGAGGTGGAGAAATCCCGCGCAGCGAGTACATACTCGAAGAGGAGGAGCTGGTCGAGGAGATGGTGGACTCGGTGAGCGAGGTCCTACGGCGCGACAATCGCGAGGGGCGGTTGAGCTGGCAAAGTGCAAACGAGCCGCGGGAGGACGTGGCGCTCAATGACTCCGCGACTCTGGTGCCAAACGATTTTCCCGGTGACCTCGATCGGGACGGAGTGGAAACGAGGAGCGACGAGAACAACAACGACAAAGCCGTCCCGGTGGGCGTCAAGTACGAGGAGCGGCCGGTCGACGTGCCGGTGGTCGGGGCGGAAGCTGGTAAGCCACTACCGATCGACCCTAGACTATACGCACAGCGTCCGTTATGGCTCCTAATATTTACCCACGCCGAGAGAGGATGTGACCGAGCCAGGTGCAAAAAGCAGCGTGTGTATACACAATTGCACGTATATGATAGATACGAGCGCGAGGCTCATTTGCAAGTCGTAAGCGCCGATTTTTCCCTCTCGGGGAGAAACTCGCCGAACGCCGTTGTAATAAACCGCGCGCGGAGGAAGTGCCGTGCCGATTTTTCTTTTCCTCGCAGCGTCCCGATGGGCGGCCGATCCAAATTTATGCATAGCCGTTCAGCAAAGTCATCATCACGCGGTTGTTGGAAAGTTATCGATTCACGATCGTTAACGACTCTGTTGTGGGAATGGATTTTTTTTTTTTTTTTTTTTTGCTTCCCCCCGCCTTCATTCTATTATTCCCTGTGTATATGTATACACGAGGTGGCTCTTTTTTTTATCATTTCGGCGCGCTCATTCGCGCGTGAAAACTACATGCGCTGGATTATTATGCACGGAGAGTGTATACGTATATACTTACGAATGAAATATCGAAAGTTGAAATCTCCCTCTGGCCTCGATCTTGTCGTCCATGTGAACATCCACTTTCGACAAAAGAACAACCTTTCGAGTTGGTGCTACTTAAAGGGAGCCGATGCCACTTTTCCGTTGTTTTATGCTATATATCACGTAAAATACATATTTCCAATCAATTATCATCGGCGCGTCTTATAATTGTTTCACTTCTGTACAGGTGTGTATTGAGTATACATACGTATGTATACCGCGTGATTTACATGCAAGCCACGCGCGACTCGCGTATGCATGTTCTCTCGCGAAGACGAGCCAAAGAAAGAAATATGTAGACAAGAGTATACGGTGTATCTATATATACATGCATACATAATAATATTATGGTGCACACTGCGTACATATACTTAGCCATCACGAGATGTACCAAACACTCATGTAGCGGTATGTGTTACGAATCTCTCTCTCTCTCTCTCTCTTTCTTATATCCTATACCATAGGTATGCGAGCTCACGTCAAAGTCCACGTAAAATCACAAGACAGAGGGAACCTCGAGGGGTTTTTTTTCATTTAACGTACAGACCTTTAATCGTGTGAAAATTACGCGAATAAGAGTGGATGCGTAAAAAAATGTATCGAGAGTAACGTTGTGACTTTACCTCTTTAATCGTGTAAATCAGCTTAGAAAACAAGTTTAATCTTCGAAAATACAAGCTGAGCTGGTATGGTTAAAGTAATTGTGGTTGAATCAAAATCGAAGGGGTTTTACACGTACTCTCTAAATTTGAAATAGTGAAAATTTCCCTATGAGTATATAAGATCCAAATAAGTATAAATTTATAGCCCATTTATATTATTTTAAGTGGTACCAGCAACAAGTTAATCAACTAATTGAAACAGTGAAACGTCAATTTGGTAGAAACAGTGAATATTGACTAAAATCCACTATTTCACAGTGAATATTCACCAGTTCAACCAAGTTATAAGTATACACAACTTTGAAATAGTGAAATCGCTTGTTTCATTGTTTAAACAATGTATATTCACTATTTAAAAAAAGTTGTACTCTATTTCAAATATAGAGAGCTACTTAAATTTGACTAAACGGTATTTGCGCCTCTCCATATAACACGCGAGATTCGTTTTCAATTGAGTTTGTGGTGATAAGAAAAAAGCGAGGATACATTATTTTCATAAACCTCAACATACAAAAATGTTCCACTAAGCGCGGGACAGGACGCTACATCCACGTCCCCTTGTTTTTTCTTTCCTCGCTAAAGCCCTTATTATTATTTACTTTTTTGTATTTACAATATAATATACGTACCCCGTGTCACTCCCATAGAAACTCCTTGACGCAACAACTTACTATGTTATACACGATGATTAC